GTTGAAGAGGCCCTAAAGTTCATCTCATTCCACACCCCTGCCATGGGCAGGGGCACCTTCCACTAGCCCAGGTTGCTCCAAGCCCCGTCCAACCTGGCCTTGGACACTTCCAGGGATCCAGGGGCAGCCACAGCATTGTTGAGGCCAGACCTCGAGTGCTGTGTCCAGTTCTGGGCCCTCATGGAAGAGAGACACTGAGGGGCTGGAGCGTGTGCAGGGAAGGGAACGGAGCTGGGGAAGGGGCTGGAGCAGCAGGAGCAGCTGAGGGAGCTGGGGGGGCTCAGCCTGGAGAAAAGGAGGCTCAGGGGGGACCTTCTGGCTCTGCAACTCCCTGACAGGAGGGGGGAGCCGGGGGGGGTCGGGCTCTGCTCCCAGGGAACAAGGGACAGGAGGAGAGGGAACGGCCTCCAGCTGTGCCAGGGGAGGGTCAGGTTGGACATGAGGAGGAATTTCTCCCTGGAAAGGGTGTTCAGGCACTGGCAGGGGCTGCCCAGGGAGGTGTTGGAGTCCCCACCCCTGGAGGTGTCCAAGGAAGGCCTGGCCGTGGCACTGAGTGCTCTGGGCTGGGGACAAGGTGGGGGTGGTCACAGGTTGGACTTGATGATTTTGGAGGTCTTTTCCAACCTTATAGATTCTATGATTCTCTGAATAAGAGAAGAGTTCAAGATAATCTCTTTTTGTGAGAGGGTGTCTTCCTCCTACACCACAGTCTCTTTTCTTCTTTGCCTATTGCAGTGTCTGCTAATGGGGAAACCTTAAAACTATGAGGGCAAAGATAGCAGGAGGTACAAGAGGGTAAAACTGAATTAAAGGCAAGAGAGTGCAGCGGGGATGTGGATAGTAAAACAGGCTCCGTGCTGAGCACATTGAAAGGAACACAGCTGGAACAATGTCTGACAGTAACAGTATATCTTCCCATATACGTTTGCCCATTCCTCTGTTATTTTTCCCCAGTATTGTTTGCTGCATGGTCTCCCCAGCAGGGTTAGAGGTCACAATAATGTTTTGTGCAGGTAGCAGAGTACTCCATGTGTGGGAAGTCGTACATAATTTTACTTACAGAGCGAAGACATGACACTTTTTCTAACACATCAAAGACAATTTGTTTACTAACATCTGTTTTGGAAATGAAATAGTGGTTCTTAAGACTGCAGACTTTACTCTGACCAGAAAGATGAAAGATCTACGTTTGTGAGGACTGTGCTAACAAAACACGCTTGTGGACTGTCAGGTTCAAAAGACTTTACCTGTAATTCTGGTCTAGTTCTCATGTCCAAAGAACTGGAGAATATATTCCCAGGATCATGACTGCTGCATGCCTTGCTGACCAGCAGGTCTTTATATCAACAGGATGAGAGAAAAACCAAGTCTATGTGTATTTATTTTCTATGGAGACAGACTGGGAGACCTGGGGTTGTTCAATCTGGAGAAGCGAAGGCTCCAAGGAGAACTTAGAGCCCTTTCCAGGGCCTAAAGAGAGCTGGAGAGGGACTTTGGACAAGGGTCTGGAGGGACAGGACAAGGAGCAATGGCTTCCCACTGATGGAGGGCAGGGGTAGATTGGATACGCATAAGAAATGCATCCCTGTGAGGGTGGGGAGGCCCTGGCACAGGTTGCCCAGAGAAGCTGTGGCTGCCCCTGCATCCCTGGAAGTGTCCAAGGCCAGGTTGGACGGGGCTTGGAGCAACCTGGGCTAGTGGGAGGTGTCCCTGCCCATGGCAGGGGATTGGGGAAAGATCATCTTTAAGGTCCCTTCCAACACAACCCATTCTGTGATTCTTTGATTTAAATCAAGACTTGAAAAAAAACCTGTATAAAACTCCTAAGTTCTTTGGGCTAGAGGATCAGGGGAACATGTCTGTGTGCAGCACTTCAGAAATTGCTGTAACTGGGATTGCCTGGCTGATTAGCAATTTCCCTGGAATATTTTCCAATATTTTCCTCCAAATATGAGGACACTGACTCTTATTCTGTGCAAATCTGCTGGGGACTGTTGTCTTCGTGGCTGTAACCCATCTACCTCTAGAAAATATTATACGGATGTCCTTGTTCTGTTAGTTTTTTTGTATTTCCCACTTCTCTCCACTTAAATACCCCTTTAATTCACCCTGGCATCAACTGATGCAAATAGAGAGAGAGAACGTAACTCCTGGAAATGCTATAATATGCTTGTGCCAGACAATGCATTTTCATAATGTTCATGTAATGTATAACTAGACCTTTTAATTTTTTTTAAGACCATTTGTGAATGGTGAGGTGAGGACATTTTGCATTTGAGCAGTCAGAAGCTTTACAAGCCTGCAGCAAGGGAAAATAACAAAAGCTGTTGCAAAGCTCTTCTTTCACTTCCCAGGCTTTGAGGAGATGCATTCTTGGGTCTGGTTCATGTGGGCTCATTTCTCTGACTTTCACTTTGAATTTGGGAATCAAAGGGATTTTAAAATTCTAGGTCAAACTCATTAAAAAACACGGAATCACACCTGGTTTCAGCTCCCTAAACCACAAGAAACAGTAAATCTCCTGCTCTGGTTTTGATGCAAATCCATAAGTCATGGGGTGGGTGTATTTGAAGCTTGGCCCAGAACCTCTATGTCCAAGAGTCAGTTGTTGCTCCAAAAGTTCATGACTTTTTTTGTGAACAAGTTTACGGATGGGAGGAGGTTTGGTGGCACATGGAAAATGTCAGATTTTTGGGGAGATTGCAAAGATAGCACCCAGCTTTTTGATTTGGGATTTTCCTGACAGAAAGCTACATCTCTGAGACTGATGCCTAATCAAAGACACACCATTCTAGGGGAAAAAAAAGCCCAAATCCCTTCTCTGTTTCCTGGTGTACCAGGGCAGCACAGGGACCCCTCTCCCTGCTCCCCACTGGCTCCTCCCTGGAGGAATGGGGGCTTTCCCGGAATTCCTGCCTGCTTGTGGTTCCTTAGCCAGTCCTGCAAAAATGTATTTTTTATTGAATGTTATTCTAGCCATAAAACTTTTAAGCTGTTCAAATACTTTGCTTTGTACCGTAGACATCTGAGACTATTAGACATTAACAAGTAAATGTACTTTTTTTTGTCTGCTTCAATCTGCTGAGGAGTTTTCTTTGGACTGATCTGCCCTTGCCTTGTACCAGAGGAAACAAGTCTGAGATGTGATATCGTATCTCCTCAATTGCTGTCTCCCCAGACTGTAGATGTAGGTGTGTTTTACTTTGAATTAAAAAAGCGACTTTATTTCTTGGCAACTCATTTCCTCCCTCAAGATCCAGAGATGTTTAAAGCCAAGAGGTACCAGACTGATTCTCTTTGATTCCTGTATTAAGCCTCTAAGTCTTGCAGGAATGGAACACATACTTTAGTAGGACTCAACTGAAAGATTTCAGGAGATGGAAATTCACTCTTTTCTATAGTTATTTTAATAATTAATGTAATGAGCTCTTTGACTTCTGCCTCGTGCCACTGGAGTTGACTGTCTATGCACTCTCGTGTGATTATTTTCATAATGGCCTCATCTGTAGTTGGGTCCCTGTTGAATTGTGTCCTAAACTGCAAATAGAGAGAGAGTGTTCTTGCCCCAGGTTGTTTATGAGAGGCAGAAAAAAACCCATTATTGCAGTTTGAGGAGGTCAGACCCCAGATTTGCTTAATTTGTTCTGAGTCTCATAGAAAGACTGACGTGGTAAATTATACACCTGAATTGGTTATTAGGAATATGTGCCTAAATAAGTATATTTACTTATAAATATAAATTTATATGTAAATTTATATTATAAATTTATAAATTATGATTTTAGATTAGAATTATATATTATATAATATATTAATACAATATACAATAATATTAATTATATTGTTATATAATATATTATATACGATATAATGTAATTATATATATGATACAATTGTTATTCTTATATAAAAGTAAAGTTCTGATAAGTTATATTGGAATTGTACACCTAAATAAGTGACCTGATTTTCTGATGTGCTGAGCTTCTTTAAAATGGGCTCTTTGCTTGGGATTTCTGTACAACCATCCTTTTGCTGGGCTCCTGATGGGATCAGTTTTCCTCCACCACCCTCAGCCATGTGTTCCCATGGAATTCCTCCCCTCACAGTTGCAGGAGCTCGTTCAACACTCAGCGCATTTTCAGGTTGTGGAAGAAAGGTGTGAAGCACCTCTTGATCTGTGCTGAGTAATATTCAAAATTGGTCAATAAAGCAAAACATCTCCCATCATTTCTCTGAGGAACATCAGTGAATGTTGTGGACCATTCCGCATCATGCAAGAAATCAGATCAGGAGATAAGGGATGGCCCCACAGGGCACTTATCCTGCAGCAAGGCAGCTGAAGTAGTTGTCCTTTCTTCTGCTGGACAGGATGGCTACAGGTGACATTTTGGACCTGTGTTCATTATTTATACAGTTTTTGTGTCTCCAGATATGTGGTACTGTTACCTCACTATCAAAGGCAGCCCATAACCCAGGGCATGCAGTGGGGATTCTTTATTGTGCACATTAAGGCTTTATTGTAAGAGGGTTCTAGTCTCCACTGTACAGAGACGACAAAATCTTTCATTCTTATCCCAACAAAAATAGGATATGTGTGCATTCAATGCCTGAGCATTTGAATCTTGTTACACAAATGAAATATGTTTTTATGTTACACTGAAAGCACCAAACTTCAGAGCCAGTTCTTCTTGAAAACAACATTGTAAACTGCTGATACCCATCACAGAATCCCAGAACAGTTTGTGCTGGATGGGGCCTCAAAGATCATCTTGTTCATGCCCCTGCCATGGGCAGGGACACCTCCCACTAGACCAGGTTGCTCCAAGCCCCCTCCAACCTGGCACTGAACACCCTCACAGGGAAGAATTTCCTCCTAATACCTAATCTGAACCTGCCCTCTGTCAGTTTGAATCCACTCCTGTCACTCCATGCCCCTTGTCCAAAGTCCCTCTCCAGCTCTCTTGCAGGCCACTCATTGGTATATTGTCCTTCTCCAACAGAGATTCACAACTGCTTTTGTTCAGGAATGAAGCTGGAACTGAGGATGAGGTTTTCTGCTCCCTGCTGTCATTGAGTGCATCTTTGCTGAGAAGGGATACCTGAGACAAAGTGATGCTCGTGAGACATCCAAACCAGGCATTTTTACAACACTTGCAGTGGCAGCAGGTGTTTTCAGAAGTCATCTTTATGAATTACAGGTACACAGGCAGGAACTGGGGAATTTTGTCTTAATAACCTATCTTGTTTAAAACAGGGACACTACAGACATTAAAGATTGAGTGTAAAGAAAATCAGAAGTGAACATTTTAAAAAGGAGTACTGCTCATGGCTGTCACAGAGCTGGCTCAAAGTATTTGAACAGGAGGCCTTAAGCTGAGTGTGGGAGTTCGGGTTTACCTCAGAAATCCTGGGAGATCATGAAGGTGAGAGAATTTCAGCAGAGGCTGCACACAGTGCTGAATGGTGGCCATTGCTCTTTTCTCAAATAGGGGGCAGGTTTAACCATGAAGACCAGTTTTTTTTCCAAGAGAGCTGGAAGTAGAGCTAAAAAGTTACACCTCAGAGGTCTTTGCAGTGTTAGATTTTCATTCCTAACTTCTTATTCAACTAAAGTTTTTATATGTTGTGCAGGAAATTCAGTATGTTTAACACCTGATTCACTATGTATAACACCTGATAATTTGCATATGACTTTTTTGCCACCTCCCCAGTGGGAAATGTTTGAATTTTTTACCAGGCATTTACTTACTCAACTGCTACCAGAACAGGTAGGAACTATTGCTTGCCCTTCAAACAAGGGTGGGGTTTTGTAAAGTCTGATCACAGCAAGGTCTTTAATTCCAAGCCCAACTATTAACAGTCGATAGCCTGTTACCACATAACTCTGACACAGATCTTGCCACGTAACCCTCCAAATTATTTTTCATCCCACAAATGTTAATATTTACTAGGCAGAGTCAACCTCCAAACCGCAGAGAGTAATTTGCATTGTTGGTGGTATGAATTATACATTAGCTAAAGAAAAATGTTAACCTTCCACTAATATGATTATATAAACAGAACTCACACTTGAGCACAGGTCAAATACCTCTGGTTAGTGCCGAGCTGTTTTCCCTGCTCACTCTCCCAGGAGCACAGCTCCGGGTGTCCGAGGCGGGCGCTGGGAGCACGCGGGGCGTGGGACCTGCTCCCGCAGCACAAATAACACACGAGTAGATCTTGATGAGCTGGAGTTGTGTGAAGTCTCTGGGGCTGGAGAGTCACCAACAGTAATCTTCTGTGCACAAGCTCCCCCTTATGGAAATGAAAAATACTAAACAATGCTTTTTTTAAATTCTCCTGGACAGGATGAAGAGTTGGTGAAGATGAAGCCACCTCTCAAGCTACAGTTGTGTTTTGACATTCAGCATTTGAAATGCAGGAGATTTAAGGAACTGGCTTATGCTCCTCATGACACACAGGAATGATCGATGACGTGGGTGGGTACTCAACATGATTTGAGCTGCTTTCAAATTTGGAATTTCTTGTGGCATCCTGTCAATGAGGAAGGAAGAGAGGCTCTTTGTGTAGCAAGAGGGACTATGGTGTCACAGTGAGAGTTGTAGCTCTAACCTCCTCTGCCTTATGAAGAGCAAAAACAAGTCATGGGGGACAAATAGTTTAATTTTCAAGTAGTTTTTATACCTGTTTCTGAGGACAGCCTACAATGTGTACTTTGAGTTGGATTCTGATGGAATTTCACCCTTAGTGGAATGGCAGTGAATGGCAGTAAGAAGTTTCAAGTTGTTTGGATGAGAGATGCAGCCTGGAGGCTCACATGTTCCATACATGGGGCCAGAAATTTGCTTTCCTCTGTGCTCAGTATGGTCATGTGGTCCTGATGGAATCTGTCTGAGGGCGATTTCAGCTCTGTTCACTCAGTGCTTACACTCTCCATTTGCATCTCTGAATCCCAATAGGAGCCTACAAGGACCTTTACACTGACTTGCTTGGACTGGTCTTGTGATCAAGACCTTTCCTGGTGCTGAAGGGCCACAGTTTGAGCCAATGCTGATCAGAATCATCATGGTTCAGCCAGGTGCCCTCCTGGCTCATGTGAATTGTTCTGGTGCAAGAACCTGAACCGGAATGTTCTTGCTCTTGCCAAACCAATTTCCAGTTGATTTAAACTATTTAAATGGGGGTTGTTTAAACAGAGACATGGAATCATGGAATGTTTTAGGTTAGGAGGGACCTTAAAGATCATCTTGTTCCACACCCCTACCATGGGCAGGGACACCTTCCACTAGCCCAGGTTGCTCCAAGCCCCGTCCAACCTGGCCTTGGACACTTCCAGGGATCCAGGGGAAGCCACAGCTTCTCTGGGCAACCTGTGCCAGGGCCTCCCCACCCTCACAGGGAACAGTTTCTTCCAAATATCCCATCTAACTCTGCCCTCTGTCAGTGTGAAGCCATTCCCCTTGTCCTGGCTCTCTCCATCTTTTGGGCACTGGAAGGCCACAATCAGATCACCCCAAAGCTTCTCTTCTCCAGGCTGAACAATCCCAACTCTCCCAGCCTTTCCTCCCAGCAGAGCTGCTCCATCCCTCTGATCATCTTGGTGCCTCCTCTGGACTCTCTCCAGCAGCTCCATGTCCTCCCTGTGCTGTTCCCCAGGGCTGGAGGCAGCTCTGCAGGGGGGTCTTGTGAGAGTGGAGTAGAGGGACAGAATCACCTTTCACAGCTTGCTGGCCAAATGAACCCATGTACACCATAGAAAGTGCTTTGGATGAGGGAATGAAAATTGTATCATCAGTTACTGTTGAAGCTCAGAAGGAAGAACTGCCCTAGTCCATGGTGCTCAGCTGGGTCATTTGAAGCCAGTTAAACCTTTTTGACTCGCACTAGTAACAAAATTAGGTAAGTACATTTCTGATCCCTTTAGAAATGCTAAGGCCAAGGGCAGCAGCTGGTTGAGCTGCCTGGAGGTGATACACAGACCAATGTAGGACCTGGTTCTCCAAAGGTCCAGATCTGTAGTGAAAGGCAGGGAGAGAGCTGGAAGAGACAAAGCCACTGTATGTGCCTTCTAATCCATCTGACTTTCAATTACTTCTTTGAATTAAATGCTTTTATGACACTGGAACATTTATGAACTTGCTTAATGTTTGTCACCTGTTTTCTGTGCTGTGGAGGTGGGAAAACCTCTGATATTCAGAGCACTTTGCACAGTTTTGAAGCCCGGTTTTCCTGTATTTATTAATATAGTTGCATTAATTGAAATAGATGTACAAAACATCTTCCAGTTTTGAGATTTGTCTTTTGCTGTCAGTGTAATACATTTTTTACATTTTGTTTCTTGATATTTTAAAATATATTTCTTTAGTTTGGGTCAATTCAAATAAAACTTGTTTTGTAGACCTTATTCTCACTAACACAAAAAAACCTCTTGGATTCCTACAGCTGCAGATGAAATGTCATAGAATCATAGAATCTGAGTTGGAAGGGACCCATCAGAACCATGGAGTCCAACTCCTGGCCCTGCACAGGACACCCCAATGATGTTCTGGGCAGGTTCTTCTGGGGGAAGAACCTTTTCCTGAGATCCAACCTGAGCCTGCCCTGACACAGTTCCAGCTGTTCCCTCGGGTCTTGTCCCTGCTCACACAGAGCAGAGATGGAGCTGCCCCTCGGGAGGAGCTGCAGACCCCGGTGAGGTCTGACCTCAGTCTCCTCCTCTCCAGCTGAACACACCAAGTGCCCTCAGCTGCTCCTCATGTGGCCCCTCCAGGCCCTTCCCCATCCTTGTGTCCCTCCTTTGGACACTCTCCAACAGCTTTAGACCCTTCTTCCATTGTGTCCCCCCAAACTGCCCCAATGTTGAGTTGAGGCCGTCCCAGGGCAGGGCAGAGTGGGACAATCCCCTCCCTGATGCCCCAGGACAGGGTTGGCCCTCCTGGCTGCCAGGGCACTGCTGACTCAGGGCCAACTGGCCACTGACCAGGACTCCCAGGGCCCTTCCCACAGCGTAGGGAAAGATGGTGTAACCCAACTAGAGCCAGAATACAGCTAATACATATCTGGTTTCAGTTCAGGTTTTGGTGGATAATTACTCTTCCCTAGTTCTGCAGAACTTTAAATGATTGTCAGTGTTACAGCCCAGTGTGTGATGGAAAGGCAGAGGCTCCTGCCTTGGTGTAATTGTTCCCTTCTCCAAGTAGCGTCTGAAAAACACCTTAGTGGTGTAACTATGGCCAGCGATGGTTGCCTGGGTAGGACATGGGAGCTCTGTGCCAGGAGAGGTTCTGTAAGGCAGGATGTGTGATGCTGAGGTGCCCAGCCGTGCCCAGCCGTGCCCGGTGCTCAGCTCCAGCAGCATTCAAGTCAGGCTCATTATGCCTGACATCCTTCCCTCAGCACTAATCATTTTTCCATTTCAACAACGGCTGTTTACAGCAGCTGCTGCCTTATGTTTGGTTTGATCCTGGTCCAGATTTTGCAAGTGATTAAAATGCCGCTAATAAAGATATTTTAACTAGGATTTACATGTTGACTTGCCTTTTACAGCTACAAAAGTTCTTCCCACTGCTGTTTTTCCTTGTCCGCCCCAGCGTGGCTGGCTGGCTCACCATTTCAGGGGTGACCTGGTAGCCCTTCGTCCCCACCAGTGCAGCTTCAGCCAGCCTTTGCTCTCCTCCTCCAGGAGCACCAGGGAGGTGTGGGGAATGACTGGATTCTTGAAGAAATCCTGGTGCCCTTGTACATGCACGATAGGGAGATTGTCTTACACACATTCCCTTGTATGTTCCCTTGGTTTACCACATACTCGACTGATTTCTATTGGAATATTATAATTGCATTCATATGGTCTAATAGCAATGGCACTTACAACAATTTCCAGATAGAGTCCGTGCCATCGCCGAGAGCTTTGAGGCAGCTTCTATTCCCAGTTACACCCAGACACTGGAGTCACAGAACAAGAAGAGTTTCCTGCTGGTTTTTTTTTATAATCCCTTGGCTTAGTAACTAGCAGGTTTGCAGAAACAGTGATGGAGGTGTGTATGATTCTCATCCTGTGCCCCCTCACGATGCAAAAAGCTCAGGTCATGTGCTTGCAGACCCTGGTTTGCAGGGTGGAAGCTCGGAGGGTACCAGGAGTATCCCATCGCACACGTTTGGAAGGGTTTGACAGATGCCAGGGGCTTGTTGGCAGGAGGGAGGAGAGCAGCAGAGGGTGCTCTGACTGCACCAGCAGCGCCGGGAGCTTGGGGAGAGGGTGTTGTGCAAAGCGAGGAGGAGCGGGAGCTCCCCCGCATCACCGCGACCCACCTTCCCTCCCTCACCGCTCCCTCCTCAGCCCCTCCCTCCGCACATGGAAACTCTCCCTTCTGGACTGGAAAAAAAAAGAAAAGAAAAAAAGAAGGAAAAAAAAAAGAGAGTTTGGGCAGGTGCCAGCCCACAGCGAGGGGCTCGTGGGTTGGCATCTGGCTGTGACACTCGAGCAAAGCGGTTACCTTGGAGGAGGCTGCACAGTGTGACTCAGGCATTTTTAATTACTGATACAGAATAAAGCTAAGCTCATGGTGGGTTTTGTTCAGCTTTTCATTCATGCTTGCAACCATAGGGTCATGCCATTGACTTGGCTTGAATGACCCTCAATATGTAGGCACTCCTATAGAAATAAACAGTGTGCTTATGCTTGCTGAAGGCAAGGTGAAATGAATAAAAATGCAAGGAGAGAGAAAATGCTTTACAAATGAAGGTTCAAAATACTGTTTAATGAGCATGTTTTTGATGTAACAGTTATTGGAAATTCCCACTGAAGGTTGCATGGTTTACCAGACAAAGCACAGGATTAAGATTGGGTTTCTGTGGCAGATTATCTGCTCTTTTTCTATCACCTCACATCTCTTGCCTCTCTTCCCTTTTGTCTGTCACACTCAGTTAGCCTGTAAACCCTTTAATTCTGCTCTGCATATATCTGCAGCCTGGTTTGATGGAGACCTGACTTGCATTATGTCTTGAACTGCTTATACAGTACTAATTACATTAATAATAATTGACTTGACTGGGCTTTGGATCAACCTCTGAAGGAATACATTTGCATCTCATTACTTACCCTGATGGAGTTCTGCCTGTGTCTGCAGACGATGGAGAGCCTGGATGGGGCTCGTCCAGACACAGGGAGGACCCTGTGTGGTGGTGAGTGATGCAGTTCCAGCCCGTGGTAGAGCTGGAGCAGCGAGATCCCAGTTTCCAGCAGATTTGTCCGTGATGCTGTTGGATGTTGCTGTCTGGAAGTTGTGCTTCCGGCTGAAGCTTTTGTGGCCAATGTGAAGTTTGTGATGCATTTGTCCATGAAGGGATCTAGGCAGGTTAAACAGGTTGTTCTCCCCTTTCTCGCAGTAGAGGCTTCATCTCTTGAATTCTAGGAATTACAGCTAAAAGTGTAGACTGGCTCCAACAGGGGTTTTAGGCTTGTACACCAGGATTTGGTAGCTGTGGTCAGTCTGTGTTGGTCTAGCTGTCAGTTAATCTAAA